GATTCCAATATGTCAGTTGAAAAATATGTTTCTGATTAAGTATTTATGTGTCTATTTTTGCCTTTATAATTGTACTAAATATTATTTGAGCAAATGTGCCATATCCAGCTTATATTTGTAACTCTTAAATAAGTTTAAGAGTTGGTAAAAGGAAGTAAAAGTCAGGTAGAATATTTCAATCTTTCCCCTTTGTTTACATGATTTGGCAACTAAATACTACTAAGTACATGCTTATCAGATTATCCACAAAATATCACTTCCCAGCACCTGACTCTAATATCTTGAACTAACTCTTCTTCTATAACTCATTATGTTGACTTGTTCAGATTATTTTACTGATTGGATTTACAATTTACTCATGTTATTCTAGCCCCTTTGTGGAAAGTGTTGGGCAATACAGGATTCAGACAGGGAAGGAAACACAAAAACATCAGAGTTCATGAATTATGCCAATATTAAATATCTTTATTAATTGCTATCTTCATTAATTAGAATAAGTGATAATCAATAATGCAAAAATCCTGTGAGACTATAGAATAAATTCCTGATCACTTAAAGCAATCAGCTCAAAGTGAGTATAAACTGATGAAATCACATTGCTGAATTCCCAAGACTCTAGAGGAAATAAGCCTAAACCAATTACTAATTTTCCCCTAGAGCGATCTTTTGTAGTTACATTGTAATTATGTCTTTAGGGTGTGTTGAAATATTTTAGGAATAAAAACTCCAAATTGCAAGTGGATATAAATCTTCTGCAACTCATATCTTGGACCACTAGTGTCTCTGAGAGAATCTTTCCTGGGATCAGGTAGGAATAAAAATTCTGACTTTTATACTTGCACTTTCTTTTCTTGTTTCATATTTAGATTTATTAATAGTGGACAGGTGACAGCAATAGCAGCTTTAAATGATAGCTTAGTTCTTTAGCCAGTTAATATAAATCAATGTGCATTTGTTATTTGGATACGTCATGGGAGAATATTAAAGATTATTAAACTATGTGTTGATAATAATTGTTGTACTTTCAAATATCATTCTCACCATTCATACAAGTATTGCACACATATTAAGAAAACCACATTTAGACAATACAGTTTAGACAACACACATTTAGATCATCAATGGAGCAAACACTTCCATTGATCATGGTATTAATATGTTTAGAATAATACCCATTGAAAGGACAATCCCCTGATCCCCAAAAAATATTTTATCAGAAATATTAAAAAGAAAAGAAAGATAAATTAAGATAGATAATTAAGATAAAGAAAGATAAATTAAGCAGGAATAATATTTATTCTAGGAATCATATATATCTATACTATCTCTCTATATATTAACATATATATATATATTTTCAATGTTTCTAGAACATTAAAACCCCTTTTTAAAATCATTAGAGAAAATTAACTAAGGGAAACATTACTACCAATGAGTGTAGGTTTGGTAAACCCCTGAGTGTAATATCAGAACTTTGGGGATGCTGGACACCTTGGGAACTAGTCAAATTTTGACACTGAGTAGCCTTGGAATCCCATGGAAATAGTCACTGCATCTAGGCAAAGAGACTATTTTCTAAATAAAGATTCAAAAGAATCTTCCCTGAGAAGCACTAAAGGACACTGCACAAAATGACCTGGAACTCAGGTTCCTGCATTGTAACAAGGTTATGTTCCCCACTCTCGTATTTGTGAGACACTGGAATGGAAAACTAAAGGGAAGGAAGGTGCTGGAGTCCATCAAGGAAAGAGCTCCTACCTGCTTCCTGGAAAATTAATATCCACAGTTCTACTCCCACTACCTGGCTGCTTATCTCTGTTCCCTACCAGTGTTTTTTTTTTTTTTTTTTAAATTTCCCAGACTTATTTTGTCTTATTACCCAGTAGACATAGTTTAGGGGCTTAATGACTGAAATTAAGCTTCAGTAACACTTCTATTTTCTTGGGCCTTTTCCTTGGCGTCAACCTCCTCTAGTTTCCCACTGAATCCGTTTAACAGGAACCATGTGTCACTGTGCTCAAGGACTAGTCAGTAACTGACAGTAGTTGCAGGCTAGCCCAGTCCTTCTGACACTTGCATTTTAACAAGCCTGAGAGAAGACACACTTACCCATAAATGGACATTTCCAAAAGTAGTATTTCAGGTACCAATGACATTTGTAGAAATGTGTTTTTGCTGATTGTGTTTCTGACTATCATTAGTTGTGATTTCTTTATTTTTTTGAGCTGGGAGGATTGGAAATTTTTGGAACTTCCAACTTCATCTAAATACATATCAGGCTTACCAATTCCTCATAAATGGCACCCCTTATATTTTGCTTAATGACAGAACCCCAGCAACATGCCAAGTGACAAGTAATGTGGGTTTAATTTTTGAGTCTTCCCATAATAAAAAATAACCATATGTATTTATAGATATCCTTGTGAATCCAATTCATTAAGTGGACAAATCTGTGTTGGGTTTATTGTCTTGTTTGTCATTCTAACACAGAGGAAAGCAATTTCACATTATCAAGCCAGTGAAACCTCACATGTAACTTTATTTCTGTTGTTTAGTTCAAGAAGGAATATAGATATTTAAAAACTCTTTGCTATACTTGCTAACTCCACATCACCCAGATTTTTCATATAGGACACTCGTGTTCTGGGGAAACCTCTGTTGAGAAGGATCTCTACTGCTCTTCCCCACTGTGGTTTAATTATTTTTTCTATATGCTATTTCTACAAAGAACAAAATGCTCTGGCTCCTACAAAACTGACTTGTCAATTTCTCTCATATTTTAATGACTTCTTCTGTATTAGCATAGGAATTAGAGAATGGTAAGAGTCATGACAGATCAATTTGGCTGTTGCTTACATAAACATTGAATGAATAAGCAATCTTTCTAACCACAGGGCACACTGCGTACAGTAAACAGTGAGGGGTGCTTTAAGTTTGTTTGGCTATGTACTGCTTCTTAAATTTCTTATTTGTAACAGTTGAAAACTCACCTCGTTTCCATGTGAAATATCTCTATTTCTCTTAAGTGTCTCCTGGGAAAAGTCTCTGTATGTGCTGTTTATACTACAGAAATATTTGCCCACTCTTGCCCAAAACCATTCCCATGTTTTTCTTTAAGTTGCAGTTAAAGGTTATTGTTCTTTAACACTTAACCTGATTTCTCAATACATTGCCCAAGATGTGCTGAACTAATATGATTATTAGTTCAAATTCTTTCTTATTGAACTAAGCATATTTCACTATAATTTTCATTTCCTCTACCATGAAGACACCAAGCCGCTCTTCAAAGATAAGCACTGATAAGGGTTTTCTTTATTTTCTCAGAAAACAGCTTGCATGTTTGAGACTGTGTTTGATGCTGCTTCTGTACAAGTTTATCTCACCTAATGATAAGATTATGCAGCATTCTGAGAGCACCAGAGTCAAAATAACTAAATCACATTCATGTATGTATGTGACTGTCTTTCTAGGAATAGTTTACACAGTGGAAGTACAGAGCTGGTGACATTGGTATTGCATGAAATTGTTGTTTGTAATCACAGAAGATCATGCCTACATACTTCTGTTCTCTGCCCTTGTTAAAGATAGGTTTACAACCAAATTTAATTGCCAGTGCTATTTTTTGAAGAGTTTACATGAATTTAATGAATTCTGATACTTAAAATCTGTTAAAATCTTATAACAGGGGCCATGTGTTACCACATAGCAGAGATTATATTACATATTTGGAGCCTCTTTATACTGGAACCACACTCTGGTTCCCTTCATTACCTCATATTGTGTTGATGGCTATCATAGGCAACTAGGTTTTGATCCCTTACCTCTTATAAAATAAAAAGGGATAACTTTGGGAATACAGAATGAAAATATATTATCTAAAATCCCAGGACAATAATTTTCAAATTTTTTAATTATAACTGATGTTATTTCATTATTTGAATTGGTAATATTATATAAATATGTAAATTCACTGTAACTAGTATCACCTGAAAACTCTGTACTAAGAATACTTTCTTCATTAGTTTTTATTTTATAATTCTGGACATTATAATAGTACAGTGAAGACAGTTGAATCATTTGTACATGCTTTTGGCAAAGTTTACAGTTCAATTTATATTCTATTAACAGCATAAATTGGTCAAGGTTTTTTTTTTTTTTTTGGTGGTTCTGGGCTAGAACACAGGGATTTGTGAATGTGAGGCAAGCACTCTACCAACTGAGCTATATCCCCAGCCCCCAAGTTTTGCTATACTTCAAATACCCTTATATGTTTTCTGGGATACATCAGAAAAAAAGGTAAATAGATGAGCAAATGAAACTATGCTTTAATTTTTGGTGTCTTTTTTGCCCTTTTTCTATGTCTTATCATGCCGTATTCATGCAAACTTATGTAACTAAAAAAACTCCTTGTTATTCAAATAGGCTTTTGTTATTTTAAAATTTGGAATCTTACCTTGGTATATTTTCATATGAAAGTTGTGCTCCTAAGTCTAACAAATTTAGCACTAAAACTTATTCCAGAGGATTTCTTTCAAGAAGCTCTAATTCTGGGCTTATATAGATTGTAGAAAGTGAAGCTTCTAAATATGCACACACTGTTGGTGACAGCAAAAAAAAAATATTTTCTACACAAATTGTATAGAAGCAACATCAAGCACAAATTTTAGATCCCCATGGTTTTATAAAGGGAAGCTGGAGGTTCAGTCTGATATTGTACAAACTTTAACTCATAAATCTCCCATTCACACACACGCTGGTGGCTCAGGAGACACTGTAGGGATCATCTGCACGATGTATACTCAGTTATTTGAGCTCAAGACCTTCTTAAGATAATCGTCCCCTATGTTCTCAGACTCTCTCCAATAATAGTGTGAGGGATCATGAGAGAGGAAGAGTAGAAGAAAGGGAGAATAAGTGGGAGAAACTAAACCTCCGAGAGACATCTTATTCACCACCTTCATTCATTTCAATTCACCCAAGTGAACATGTTGGTATCTAAGAAAATGGTCAGAGGAAATTCCACCTTGGTGACAGAATTCATTCTCTTGGGATTGACAGATCGCCCAGAGCTTCAGCCCATCCTCTTTGTGCTGTTCCTGGCGATCTACCTGATCACTGTTGGGGGCAACCTTGGGATGGTGGTGTTGATCAAAGTGGACTCCCGCCTACACACTCCCATGTACTACTTTCTCGCCAGTTTGTCCTGCTTGGACTTGTGCTATTCCACTAATGTGACTCCCAAGATGTTGGTGAACTTTTTATCGGAGAAGAAAACCATTTCCTATGCTGCCTGCTTAGTGCAGTGCTATTTTTTCATTGCCATGGTGATTACTGAGTATTATATGCTAGCTGTGATGGCCTACGACAGGTACATGGCCATCTGTAACCCGTTGCTTTACAGCAGCAAGATGTCCAAAGGAGTCTGTGCTCGCCTGATTGCTGGTCCCTATATCTATGGGTTCCTGAGTGGCCTGATGGAAACCATGTGGACTTACCGCCTGACCTTCTGCGGCTCCAATATCATTAACCACTTCTATTGCGCAGATCCCCCCCTCATCCGGCTCTCCTGCTCTGACACGTTCATTAAGGAAACATCCATGTTTGTGGTAGCAGGGTTCAATCTCTCCAACTCCCTCCTCATTATCATCATCTCCTACATCTTCATTCTCATGGCCATTCTGAGGATGCGTTCTGCCCAAGGCAGGCGCAAAGCCTTTTCTACCTGTGGGTCCCACCTGGTGGCAGTGACTGTGTTTTATGGGACCCTGTTCTGCATGTATGTTAGACCTCCCACGGACAAGTCAGTCGAACAGTCCAAAATCATTGCTGTTTTCTACACTTTTGTCAGCCCTATGTTGAATCCCATCATTTATAGTCTGAGAAACAAGGATGTGAAACAAGCTTTTCGGAAACTCATCAGAAGAAATGTGCTCTCTAAATAAAGTCACCGAGTATCTTCCTTTCCATAAATCAGAGATCTATTTGTAAGAACTGTATCCAAATTTAATAGAATTTATAGTAAAGCTCATTTTATTGCCATAATGAAAATATATAATCTATCAGCAAAACACAAAAGACTTATCGTTTCCATGACAGATAAGGGGAATGTTTGTGTGAACAGGGAGGAGGTGTGCATTTAGATATGGAAAATGAATATTCTTCTTTTGTATACTTTTGTATCTACAATTTTATACATTATATTAAAAAATTATATATTT